AGAGAAAGAGTAGAAGTAGGAGAAGAGAAAGATTTAAGCCTCAAATGGCGAATCACAGAAATGAAAATGAGGAAAAACGATAGAAGAGTGAATGAAGAAAAAGGAAATGAACCTTATTTGCCTATGGCAACGACGTAATCAGCCGTAAGAGCTAAAACGATAAGTTTCCGTATAACACTCAGCTTTGACGAAACTTTGTGCGGCAACAATTCTCAAAATGAGATTAGTGTTGACAAATGTTGTTGTTCTCATGATGAGCATACAAATAAACAAAAATGATGAGGAAGATTATTCAAATGCAAAGAATGTGAATAATTGTCATTAGCGAAGCATTTATGGATCGAGAAGTGAATGAAAATCTGTTTAAGAAGATGTTTATTTCTATGTATTCTCTTCATTTACGCTTATTCTTTTCTTAATCTCAATCCAGATAACACAACGATTCTGAATCGCTTTTTTCCACCTTCTATAGAGACAATATCTCTGAGAATTTTAACGTTCGCAGATGATTGTCGTCGTCGTCTTCGTATGTTTCATCATCTTCTGTCATGGATGAATCATGAGAACGAAGTAACAGGACCCAATTTCTCTTTAGGATCATCCCATTCCTTTTTAATACATTCTTTACATTATTATTATGATAACTGCAGAATCATTATCCTTTCTAATCATAGGCTAGCTGATTAAAGAGTTTCCATGAGCAACGTTGGAGCTTCATATGAAAGTAACAACAAAAAAGGAAATTATCATACGTTAGATAAGTGATTAAGCTTTCAGAGTGATAAATAGTAAGAGAGTTGAAGAGAGGGTATTGCAGATTGAGGGAGAGAGAGGCAGATTCTGATTAAGAAGACCAGGAGTCACATCTCAAATCATCTGTTTTCTCTATACGTAACGTATTTGCAAAAGAAGAAAAATTTTTTTATGTGACTTATATCATAATTATGATATATAATCTTTGATAAATGATTATTTGTGTGACGTAAATCGTTGCCAGGTTGTTCTTATCTGATTTGATTGTTCTGATTGGAAAAATGACAACTGCGTCATGAAGAATGTAAGATGATTTTATAAGTTTTTTTAAACAAAAAAATGATTTAAATGTTTCATTTTCGATCTTTTGACAGTTTACATAACGCAAAAAATCTTCAAAAATGTTGCTTAACAGTCAACTTTTTATTGTTCTTCAATTATATGTATGTATATATGAATTTCCATACGTAATTCATACACATGCTTCTCAATTTCTAACTGGAACAGACGTTGAGGCTGTTTCAAGATGCATTTTTCTTTTAATTAACTTAAAAAGGAGAAGATTTGCTCATCTGACGTGCGAATGAATAGAATATGAGACTATTCTGAATTGGATAATAGATATATTCAATATCTTGAAGAACATATTTTTCTAAACATAATCAAGCAGAGATAGAAAGTGAGAGAAAATGAAATGGAACACAACCGTTCTCAACGATTGAAACACGAGAAAATGAAAAATAGAAGAGACACACAACGTGAAAATTACGTGAACATGTGATATAGCAATAATTGAATGAAATATGCATATTAGATGAAATTGAAAATATGAAGAAAGGTGTTAGAACTTAAATGAATCACTGTTTCTATATTTGATCACAGTGAGAGATGCAAACTAGTTCAACGAGCATTATATGTCAAAAGAGAGTTGAAGTGGGAGGAAGGTGGAGAAGGGAGGAAGAGGATCGGAAGAGGAAGGGAGGAAGCATGGAAAAGTTATGCTAGACACAAGCTTTTTCATGTAGTAAAGTGATGACCTTATTGGAGCAAACAATAACATTTGATCTTTCAGTTCTTCAAATTGGTCAACCTAATGCATCAGACTAAGCTGAAGCTGGGCAACCGTTTAGCATTTCCAATAATGTATCGAAAAATTGAGAGAGAAAATTAAGAGAGAGAGAGAGATGAGCATAAGCTGAAGCCATGTAACCTGCTTCTAAAACAGAATGAATCACACAAATAATTATATTAAAACAGCTTATACTATATACGATTTGTGCATCATTTGTTTTCTTTCATTCCTCTCTTTTTCGTTCTCTTTTCTTTTTCTCTCATCAAATCTATTTTGGAGTTGTTGTGAGTTGGAATTCTTGGAAACATGACAAACGAAAGCTTCAAAGTTAAATGTTGCGATTTAGCGTTGACAGACCGATTTTAACATTCATTATAGAAAGAGAAACTGAAAAGCTTCAATTTCGATTAAAACTAGATGTTGGGGTCAGTTGAAGGCGAAAGGAAAGTTAATGACTTGCACTTCTTGAATTCCTTTTCTTGCATTCCTTCTTTCTCTCTCTTTCTATATGTATTTTTTGTCTCCCTCTCTCGTTCTTTTTTTCTCTCTCTCTCTATCTGTCTCTCTTTCTATTTCTTCCTCTTTTTTTCTTTCTCATCTATGTATATCTATTGCTATTCGTCATTGCAATTCTCACTCTCTAACTTCATCTCTCTATTCAATTTTATAGTATTTTGTTACTTTTTCCTTTAAAATTGGTAAAGACTCTTTTGCATGACTCACTTTATCCTGCGTATCTTCTTACCAATTCAGCTCTCTTCATTCGTTCTTCATTCGTTCAGCTTTTTCGATCAGGTTTAAAGACTCAAAGTTCAACATTAGATACGGAACAGATCACCGTTTCGTTTCCTGAGAATACTTAAATCAAAAAACGTTTCTATATCGAGCAATTGTTTTTTTTTATTATTATTTTTCAATTCGTCATTCTCTATTTTGGTATGTTATATCATTCTGAAGTTAGAAATGGGTGTGTTAGGCCATGAGTGTCGATGGGTTTTGTTGTCAGTCGAAATCTATTTTTATGTATTTCGTTATTTCTCTTATTTCTATTCACGTTAACTTTGCTATCTTACGGCTCTGCAATATCTTTTTCTCTTTTTCGTCTGACTGCTTTTGCTTTCATCTCATTTTGCCACAGCTTCATTGGCAGACACACGTAGGCTTTCCCCGAACCTCTTCCCTTACCAACAGCTTCCCACTCTTTATTTCTCTATCTCTCTTCAAATTTCATGTTTTTTTTCTCTAGCCTCATGCATTTTTCCCTATTTTCCATCTCTTCACTGGTTTTTCACTCAAATGTAACTCGTTAAACACAAGTAGCAATAGCCACCTAGGCTTCAACTTTCGGTTATTGGTTGGAAAATTAGAAATACATTATGAGGAAGAAAGCCTACACATAGAATATCAGGATAATTTGTCAAAACAAGAAAGAGAGGGAGTCAATGATGTAGGTATAACAATACTTTGAACAACATGATATTTACTCATCAGTTGAATACTTTTCAGCTCAAAGAGTTTGTGATTAGTTGTTTATGAGTGTGAAAGTAGGAAGAAAAAGCTTTCATGCTCATTCACAATTTGAATATCATTGGAAGAAATACATTTGGCTTTCCGGCGAAGACAAAAATTTGATGCAAATTTTCATATAAGATCTTGATAGATGGCTGTTCTCATAAAACAACTTTTATTTAAAAGAATTTTCATTTCCTGTCGGAGAACAAACGCCGGATTTGAATTTATGAAAAGTATATTATAGCAAATGAATATGAAATCACATCTCAAATGGGGGAGATGAGGAATAATGGGCAAAGGGTGATTTGAAGCTATAAAAGCTTACAAGGAGATGAAGAACTGAATAGAGAGAGGTAGACATAGCTTGAAAATACATTGGAATATCAGATAGAAGGGAAGAGGATAACAGAAACAGAGAGAGAGAGAAAGAAGAAAAGAGATTGAGAGAGCAAGGAAAATGATGGAAACAATGGAAGAGAACAGGTGAGAATTACCAACTTTCGAGGAGGCGTCGCAATCCAACGAGATATGAAATAACAAGGAGAATAACGATAATAGCTTCATGGTGGAAGGAGGAGAAGGAAATGGTTTTTCGCCTTCTTATCAAAAGTTTTTTTTCTTCTTATTCTATATATAATGAAGAAATGATATGATTATGGATTGATGAGAAGAATGCAGTTGGTAGTTTGAATCAAACATCGAGTTCGCTTAATCCATACAACAATCCTTGTTCTTCTGATTATATTGTTCTTTTGATAATCTTTCTTTTTCATATTCTTTCTCTCCTTCTTTCTTTTCTGTTGCCTTTTTTTTCTTTTTCTCTCTCTCTCTCTCTCTCTGCCTCCTTCCTACTCTCTCTCCCTCTCTCCCACTCTCTCTAAAAAATTTTAGCCTTTTGTCTTTGCTATTCCGCAAATTCATCGTTTTTTTTAATTCCGCTAACCTTCTTCAGTCGATCAACTCCTAAACGAATAGAAATATGTATTTCTCTTTCTCTCACATTTACATATTGAAAGGTACTCTTCGCTGATGAACAAGGAATGTTTTTCGCACGAGAGTGTTGGGGTTAAAAATATTTTTTCTTATCTGAAAAATGAAATCATGTTATTGTAAAGTACTTAATTCAAAGTGTAAAGTAATTAAGTGAACATATTAAGATTTCTTCAAATACTATGATTAACAAGGAAGCAATGAATTGAAGAAATAAAGCTTTTTTAAACATTTGATTCAATATGCAAATTTAATATTAACTCACCTCATCTTACTCACGTGAAATGCCGCATGAGCAGATGGTTTCATTTATCTAATGATGTTGAGCCGAACGGCTGCATGCGCTGTGAGTTTTCTCATTCTCTTCATCTCTCCATCCTTTCTTCCCTTCTGTCATCCTTCCCTCCCTCTCTCTCTCTCTTCCCTTTTCTTTCTTTTCACAATTTCAGTTACTAACACTTTATATTCCATACACCTTTCAGAAGTTAATAATATTTCAAACAGAAACACAGAGAGAGAGAGAGGAAGAGATAGAGAGAGAGAAAGGGGAAAAAGTTAAATGAGATTTGACAATAAGCAGACAATTGCAATTGAAATTGGAATAACAAAAACAAAATAGTTTAGTTGGGATATCGAAATATGAAGATCTCCATAATTAATGAATTAATTGATTTTAGGCGAGCTGTTTATGCTTTCGCTGACTTTTAGCTCCTTGAGGAACATCTTTGAAACGGCAGTGAGTTGAAATGGCAGCTTCGCATGGCTCTGTCATCCAGATGAACCTCAAATGTGTTTTGTTTAACAAAATTCATAAAAACATATTTTACCAATCGTTGGCTTGCGAATCACGATATTTTCCATATGTATAGTACTTTTGGCATTTTGGATTTACATATGGAACTTTTTGTAAAACCTATGATGATAAATGCTTGACGTGATGAGATAGAGCAGGAAGTATGTACAAACCGATAAATCAAAGTCAGGCTCACAACCTAAGGGACAAGCAATGCGTGTGGTAGAGTTCTGAGCTAATGTATTCCAAGATGTTTGAGGCATCGGCTCACGTCGACATCTTCAAAATATATATATGGAAATGAATGAAACGAGCTAGATAGATGCTACTTATAGTTTTTGGGATCTCTAGGTGGAATGGCATCATCTGGAGCAATAACCAAACAATCTCCATTACGGTTTATACAGTCAACAGTTCGTTTTTCTACAATAATAACATAAATAAATGAATGAAATAGATTATCATACCCCATCTGTTCCAAATGAAATCATCAGCAGTGAACACAACACTTATAAGAGCGCTAGTATATAAAATATAATGTAACATTATGCTGATTTAAAGAATGTTTTTGCCTTATTTATATATGAGTACATAAGCTCTGATCTGGCTTCTCAAACAAGTTTGTTGCAGCTTAGAAATGAAAGAACAATAGCCAATTTATTATTATTATTATAATTATTATGCAATCATCATGTTTCCAAACCTGTCTAGTTTGGATTTACGTCTCCAACATCTTACATTTATACAAGAATAATATTAAAAAAAAGATATTATTTTTGCCTTCAATATACATTTTGATGAGAAAGAATTTATTTTTTTCTATTGTATTTGCTTCATTTCTATTCAACTCATAGAAATGATTATGAGAAGTCTGAAGTAGGAACACCGCAATGAAGTTCAAACGTTATTTTCTGTTGAGAACAACGTTCAGTTCTCCATAGATACCAATGTCCATTACGGCTTACTGTGTTATAAGTGTAAAAGCTGATACTTATGATTATCTTTCAATTCTATAATTTTAACGAACCGTATACACTTGCGATTGCCGTTTGGAAATTTTGAGATAACAGAATCACGATCTGCCGTGTCACACTCAATATTACATTCGTGACGACCATTGCCTTCATCAAACATTATGTTAAAGAATGAAGTGATATCTTACCATCTAATTGACAATTAGCCTGCTCATATGTGCCATTCTTGCCTTTTGATAATAAACAATCATCCATGTCACATGTTAAAGTTCGTCTCTCTGAGATAATGATGAGAAAAAATTAAAAATAAAACAAAACAACAAAGGTATACCCCAGAGAATTAGTGAAGTTACTGTATTAATCAGTAGGATGACGATAAAGATGCTAGAATTCAGCATAGCTGAGTTTTATGATGAATATGATATTTTTGATGAAACGATATGGAAACTTGATGATAGGGGGGGGGGGGATATTGGATGAATTCGTTTGTCTTGTTCATTATGTTTTCCTAATGTGGTCTGACCTTAATTGGAATAATTTGGTTGGAAAAAAACTAAAACATCAAGCATTTAATCCATTTATCGAAAACATGATAATAACAAATAAAAATCTTCATACGACCATCACCTCATGAACTGAATATGGAGAAGAGGTAACGCATAGACAGACGGAGAAATCAGGAAAATTCGAAGAGTTGCTTGATGAGCGAGAGGGGAGAAGAGATGAAGCAATAGAAAGATTAAGCGAATAATGGAGAAGTCCGAAAAGGAACAGAGATTGAACTTTTCGCTCTCACAGAGAAAAAGAGGTTTCGCATTTGTTGACGTTGGCTCTCAGAAGACATGATGAAGCTATAACAGCATACTGTCGTCATTCTCATGTCTTGTTATCCAATAAATGTGCTTGTAAATGACATTCACCGGCTTTTGCGCCTCCTCAACCACACAATCTTTGCATTAACAAATATTTGAAAGAATAAGAGGATATATGAACGGAATTTCGGACATCAATCCTCCTTCCCATAAATTCAATTAAGATTTTCCTACTATAAAGCTCACAAAACATCTCTGTCGCTCAACATTTTGAACTTTTCTTATTTCATTGATAGATTATACTACCGAAGAGATATCTTGTTTTATCTCATCTTCAACATGCTTAACCGGTCATGATGTCATGAGTGCACGTACCTTTTTTATTTTTCCATTTTTACTTTCTATGGATCGGTTGTGCATAATAATATGAAATTCGTTTTTTTCTTTTTTTCTTTTTCCTCATTCAAAATGCAAAAAGAGGTTGTAGAAAACATCAAAAACTTTTTTTTGTCTTTCAATATTGTTGATGTTTGTGTAGCCTCTTGAAATTTGCTTTTTCTACTCCCGACTCGGCGTTTGGCTATTTTATGTCCATCAAAAGAATTTATTGTTGGTAATGATGAATTCGCATTCATTTTTATTTCCTCTAATAATCTTTCCTTCAACTATCATTTGAACTTTTAATCGCATCTGCGAGATTCATATTTTCCAAGATAGTTTCCACAATGTGTGTGTGTGAGGCGTGCTGTTTGAATTACGTCTGATCGTCTTAAACCGTACGTTTAACTCATCATCTCTTAAGGCTCCTCTACTGCCTTCTTTCTCATTTTCGGCCCTGTTCAAAAGAAATGAAGTAAAACATAAAGAGAATGAAGCTTAGAAGAAGATTGCTCCGAGAGAATGAAAAGAAAATTTTTACGGTCAAACGAACTGAAAACGTTCATGTGCGCACAGTAAACTGACCAATCGTTAGTTTAAGAATTAGAGAATACGGAGAAGAAAAGATATAATGTGAAGAAGAGATTCGATGTTCAAAAATTTGAAATAGAGAGAGAGAGAACGTGAAGAGGCAGATGGCGGTAGTCAACTAGAACTCTCCGATGAGAGCTTCAGGGCTTCTAATGGGCCCAAAGAGCTCGAACACTCGAACTGTCCAGCAAGAGAAGAAAAGAAAGTAGAGCACAGCTAGCAGACACTAGCCAATCGGCTATGTTCACGGATTTTGAACTTTTTTTCTTTTGACTTCTCTAGTTTTTGTTTCACTTGTTATCTATCTTTTCTCTTAGTTTTTGTCATCTTAAATAGAATGATTTCAGAAAGTTTGATTATAAAAGCAAAACAATTCCTTTTCTTTACATCTGGATTGATTAATGATTGAGAACTCAGATGCAACTTCTTCAACTTCAGTACCTGGACCATCTAGATCCAGGCGAAGGTATATGCCAGGAAGTGCTCGAAGCAAAACAATTGAACTCGGAACATTATCTGAAGTTGAAGAAGATTTATACCAGAATAGAAAAGGTGTTAAGCTGTGATGTATATGTAATCATATCGTTTTCATAGATATTACAAATCATTGTCCATCTCCATTATCTCAAGATGATTCATGTATTGGTTCCGTACGACGTCCAAGTATGGGATCAGTACGAAGTATCGCACGTCATCTGAGCGAAAAACATAAAGCTGAAAAAAGTATGTGAGATTAGCTTTTTTTTTCATCTCAAGTTTTTAAGATGCCCAGCTCGAAAGACAAAAAGAGTTTGAGTCTGCCAATCAAAGCTTTGTTTCAAATTCGTTATCCGGTCCCTCAAAACACAATATGATAGAGACGAATGATCGTACAGTCCCCCCAATGGCAGCTCAAAGGAGGAACACTATTGCGCTAACAGCATCACAAATCCGCCAAATTGAAGAAATAGATAACAGGCATTTTGCTCAAGAAGTTACAGTTGCTGCTGCAGTTCAACGTAGTGCAAGTGAGCGAAGAGAAATGCGTGAGGTGAGTACTTCAGTCACATTCGGTATCCTTCCCATAAAGCTAGCTAAAAGCCCACACACTATATACAAAAAAAAAGTGAAAAAGAAACAGTTTCTAACGGATTATATTATGAGTGTGTGATGATTATCACAGAAGTAACTCTCTTAGCAGCTTCTTGGGTGTTTCTCTTTCTCAGTTCTCTATTTTTTCTCATTCATGAGGATAGTCTATACTATCTATCTTCTTCATATATATAAATATATAACTGATTCTCTTGCGAATGCACACTCTTTTGATAATATTTGTCTATCCAAATAAAGTAAAAGCCATACAATGCCGGTCAAATGAAGTAGTAGAGGAGGTCAGTACACAGCCAGCTTTCTCTTCTTACAATCACAGTCCGCCACAAGAAATTATATATTTTATAATAGATAAATTGAATGATTTATTCCTGCTATTCACCTGTGGTGAGTTCATTTCTTTTTCTTTTCTTCTTTTTTTCACAAATTTTCCAGTTGAAAAGCCGAATGAAAGTAATCTTTGTTTTGTACACCTACTCCTTTTCTCATCCTTAAAAATGACAAAAAGACAAAAGAAAGAAATTTAAAAAATTGAAAACTCTTTTCACTCTTTTGTTGTCAAAAAATATTATCTTTTCCCTTCTTTCTTTCTTTCTTTCTTTCTTTTTTTGCCTTTCTCACCTCAGATGGCTATTGCGAACCAGTTTATTGAAATAGGCCTACTGCACATCAAATAAGCTTTGACCTATTTTGGAAACATTTCAATCTTTTATGTATCTTTTGCCTTAGAACAATTCGTCGCCTGCTGCGTGTAGATTCTCACATACAAGCTTCCTCTGAAACAACAGACAAAAAAACATTGATTATCCTTCTCACTTATGCTTCTATATTCATCTCTTAATTTGACCGGTTGCAGCCATTCAACAAGTGGAGTCCGACTCATTCTGAAGAAAAATGGTCAATACCACATAACGGGTCAGAATATCAACGTCAGCGTCCCCCTTCTGTAATATCAAGGTAATGAGTGATTAATAACTTATTATTCTTCATTATGTGCCAGACATCCAACAATAATAGGATCATGTCAAGATGGCAACGGGAGAATATCAAGATCAGCCTCGATGGTCGGGCGAATGCTTGTATATGATCCACGAACAATGTCTTTAATTGATCCTAGAATTCAAACAGATTCTAGAATTGATCCCAGGTTTGTCGTTTCTCTTTCATTACTTTAGTCAGTTGAGTTTTAGATTCGGAGAAATGGCCCTGCCCATTTGGCTACCTTCTCCTTCCGGTCATCCTGTATACATTCCTGTTGGAGCAGCTTCATCTGACATTCCATATACAACACAAAAGCTCTACCGGAGAAAAGAGAAAACTTCAGTTTGTTGTGAAGTCTGTTGTGGAGGAATAGCACAGTTACTGTGGACAATCATTTGCATCATACTTATGGGGCTTGTCTCAACTCTTGTTTTAGCTTTATTTTATATATAACTCAACTCGAAAACTTTTCATAATAAATTTGTTCTGATACCGAGTTCCAATTAATTTTATGATGGATGGCTATGTATGGTCACAATTGATTTCCTGCATCTTCAAAATGAGAAATAGAGCTCGAATGTTCTCATCCGAGCTTTGAGAAGAGAACTGGAGCACAGCCGCTTTTCCAACGATTGAAAAGAAAACTAGAGCACAACCGCTATCCTGCTGGCCTGATGACGAATAAAAAAACACTACGAAATAATTCAAAGACGGCTCCACTTATTCAATGAGATCCTGAGTGCTGCACCGTTCAGGCTTGGTTGCCATTAGAATGAAACTGTGTTTTGCTCGGACACTTGCTGGAGCGAAAACTTATTATGTAATATTTTCAAAGTCTCAGAATTTCATTGTGTATCTTTATTTTTCAAATCATATGAGTATACTACTGTGAACAACTAAAACTCAAAAGCCGCTGCTGATTGAACGCTTAGCGGTAGCTTTAGCGCTTTCATTAGCAATTAGAATTGTTTCTTTTCGAGATGTTGCTCTGTTCTTCGCCAATGGTGAAGAGAACTTCGTATTTGAAATAAAAATCATAAATAGTTGAGAAATCAAAAAAATAAATTCAATTAAACAAATAGCGGATATGCCCATAAGAATTCCGAGAAGACCACCCAGACGAGATAAGAACGATGTTACCTGCAAAACGTCTATTTAGCAATGGAAATATTGCTCTGTCTACCCCAAACGCTTCTGTTTCAACAAACCCGAAAACAACTAAAGTAGGTAGAGTTGTCCTAAGAAGCACTTTATCCTCTTCTTCTTCGTAACACTCTGATACAGCTAAACCAGCCTTTGAATCGCATGCCGCTTTCTATTTTTGAAAATTTTCAAGCTTTTAGAAGAATTAAATTACTTTAGAAACATAGATAGATTCCGAAAAAGCAACATTGTAAAGAGTGTTCGAGCAAGGTAAGGGACAGGAGCATTCACTCCATTTTGAAGGATCTCCTCGTTTCGTTGATGTCTCTTCAATGCACAAACCTTAACAATAATAATCACTAATGATAAATTCTATTCAAAGTACGCTCTGCTAAAGAACAGGAAGCTTCGCTTTCGGGAGCAGGATACCTAGGGTCCATACAACCACAAGCTGCCTTTATGACATCTTGGTAACAAGATCTCAAACATCCCTGTAACAAACATGAATTGTGAGATGTAAAACAATATTGCTCACATCCGTTGTGTATGTACCCCCATAGTAATACGATTTAACTTCCTTGACGTCTTTCACACAACGACCAAACCTTCCTCCCAATCGTTTGTAATAAACCTTTAAAGATTCACAGTTCATTGGATGCATATTAATGAGTTACCGGTTGCACATTCATTTGTATCAAATTGTTTGGCCGACAGTTGATGCGTGGAGATTCAGCAAATATGGATTCATCCCAATTATGAGTGAAAACCATGATGGCAGTAGTCTCAATCCAAGGCAGATATTCTTTCTGTTGCACATTAGTTTGTAGTTCTAATCCTATAAAAAAATATATTCACAATTAGTCCAAGACTGATCCCTCAAGTTGATCGAGAATTAACAAACCTCCACTTATTCCTGAACCTCTTGCTTTGTACAATGTTGTGCTATTTAAATGATTAAATGTGAAGCAGTTACCAAGTACTTTGTCGTTCCATCTGATGAAATCCGAGCTGAATTGAGTATTTTATACCTTTAACTGAAGTAAAATGAATACCGAATATCAATCAGCTTCTCTTCGTAAGCTACCCATATAAAGATATCGTCATAATCCCAACTCAAATCCATTCTTTCTTCAAGAGGATAGCCACCAATTAAGAACGGAATGATATCTCGTACTACAGTTGGATCCCCCATAAGTTCTTCCGTTAGCTAAATGAACATTTAAAATTAACAGAGGAAGTTGACAGACTCTATCCAAATCGTCTGGTTGTACATTTCCATGAGTACTGTTCAAAATTTCAAAAATGATCCTATCTGGAACGGTTATTACATCAGCTCTGTTTGTAATTCTCAGCTCACTTATGGTGCATTCAGTTCCCATCCAAGTTTCTCCACAAACACATTGATAACCTCCATAAGTGTTAACACATGTTGCTTGAGGGTCTTTGCTTTGGCAAATCGAAGGGTAGAGAACACATTCATTAACATCTAAGATGAGACTCACAATACAAAAGATAAGATAAGTTTTCCATACCTTCAGTACAATTGACTCCCTCAAACTGTGGAGTGCAATCACATGTATACGTTAAACTTGGACCGTTTTCACAAGTTCCCCCATTTTGACAAACTGGCATATCACAAGCAAATATCTCTATGAACCAAAAGAATAGTATTGAAAGTACAGAACATATGTATACGTGTTTCGCATCGTTGACCAGTGAAGTCCACTAAGCATTCACAGGTGAAAGTGCTTTCTAAATCATTTGGAACATTGGAACATGTACCTCCATTCAAGCACTGATTTTCGTAGCATGCTTCAAAAACTAAATAAGAAAACTGTTTCCGTTAACCATGATATTGAATATTATACCCGTGCATGCTGTTCCCGAGTATAAGTTGAGGCAATCGCATTCAAAACCTCCATCTACGTTAGTGCACGTTCCTCCATTATGACATGGACTTGTAGCACAAACATCATCTCCTTAGAAAATAATATTTTCCTTTCATGATATGCTAACGTACCACACGTCTCTAAGGAGACCCGACCGTCTGGACAGCGACAATAGGCTCCGGTATTATCATCTGTGATTTCACAAGTTCCTATCCCACAGACTTTTGACGCGCAGGGTGATATAGTCGCAGCTTAACAGGAGATAAAGAGAAGCAGAAATATAAACAGTACGAGAAGTACAAGTAGTCCCAGTAAACTCCATATAACAAATACAGCCACTACTACTTGCATCAACATTGTAACAAACGCCATTCGATGAGCACGGATTAGTCATCTCACAAGCAGCTGAGAATAATTTCAGAAATTAAAAAAAAATTTAAACTATTTGTACTTTGTATAAAATAAACAGGCTGCATTTCAGGTTGCAAACTAGGCGAACTCTTACAATCCGTTAAAACTATAAGCAGTGTTACTACGAGTGGTGTATGATGTGCAAGAAACTAACGAAACTCTAGTAATGATGACAACAACCCAGATGCAGAATATTCCGTCACCAACTCATTAGTGGTGGAAAACCAACACTGTCTGTTCTTATGATAATAAGCTGAAAAGCGTTGTTGATGTTTTAATTGATCAGAAGATTGTGATTTTACTTGAATATCTATATGTAGATTCAGGATTACTTTTTAAATAAGTTTGAAGAGCATCCCTACAACTGGGTCCACTATTTGTTGACCCGGTTGAGTATAAATAATAATTGGGCGAAGCAAAATTATAGTTTGGCTGACTGAAACATTTGACGTAGGCGTTAGCAGCTAAAAAAAAACAAAATTGGAGATCTCCTAATTGAGATACCGTTTTCAGCTGTTTCACAGTCAGCGCCCACATATCCTACTGGGCATTTACAAATTGCGGTTCTTTGCTTATCTACTATTTCGCATATACCACCATTTTGACATTTACTCGCACACAGGTCTCCGTCATCTATAGTTAGATAGTAATCACATGTGCTACGTTAAAAATACATTGGCATTGCTCTCCGTAAGTGCCAGCTTGACAGACACATTGAAATGATCCTCCAACAACAGAACAATCTCCTCTATTCAAACAAGGTGTTGGAGCGCATGGACTTGAACTTTCTACAAAATTTTTCAAACTATATCAATCACAGATAGAGTGTACCTATTGAGCAACTCGGAGGAGCCCAGCCTACAACGCAGTCACACTTTGGTGTATTCGAAACCAATGAACACTCCCAATTACCATCGGAAGGACATGTCATTTCCGCACAACTTGTAGGAGCTGAAGAAAAATCTTTAAAAAGCTTCCAATAAGCAGTTTGTTCCCACCATCGCACTCAGTGTTGGAAGTTTTTGATGTCCCTTCAGGACATACGCAATCGGAACATTCTATTTCATTATTTCTAAAAGCAAAGCATTTGAATCTATCAGAAAAAGCGAAATACGAACGCATTAGTTAATTGATCTTCAGGATAACAATAGCCAAAGTTAGTGCAACCATGAGGAGGGTTAACACTGTTCAAGTTCTGAAACGAAATAGTAATGATTATCGACTCTCTGAAGGCAGTACCGTTGCCACACTAGTTAGTGCGAGTGAGAGCAGAACGGGAAACACTTTCTTCATCAGCTTGACGAATATGTCATGACAGAGGATGAACTAAGATTTAGCTTTTCAATTTTTAAAGATAAAACCTTTCTATTTTTCTGGGAATGCTTGACATTCTTCGGTATATAAAAGGAAGGATATCCTTGGCAACGATATGCACGTTTGATTCACTAGGACAATGAGAGCGACTTCCCAAGCTTTCCTTATGAATTTGAAATTTGTTGAAAACGTGCTGGTGAATAGAGAGAAAACTCGACAACGTTTTCGTAAGAATCGTAAACCACAAAAAATGCTTAAAAACAAATCCAGTGTTAGTTCAAAACTTTTCAAGATATGAATAATTCATTTAGAACTATCTGACTATAAACACAGGCAACAACGTATAGGTACAGAAATATAAATTGATTTACAAATCCAATGTTAATATCATACATTCAAAACTATTCGTAAATCTACACTTATAATTGAATCAGTCAAATATAATACATAAATTGTCCATCATAAGGAAATTACATAATCATGCAGCCTCGACACGTAAAGTATCGAAGAAACTCACATCTTCACATCTCTTCTCTAGAACACAACGAGCAAGATAAAGTAAAATCTGCAATCGATTGAAGATAGTATAGAACCGTTCCTAACCAAACCTCAATTGATGCTGGGCCAGGCTCAGCAAGATTCGTTTCCCAATGCTTCACATCCATATCTCTTGCTAAATTAGGTCCCATGCTTTCAACGATTCTTTCTCCTTCTGAGAAGTTATTGCCCAACAGTACACATGGTTTACGCTAAGATGAAAAATTATAAAATTAAATCCCACTTTGTGAGCTCACCAAAAGTTTGGAGATGTGTCTATGAGTGGTCATAACATTTAATAAACTTGGGGAATCTGTACAGGAATATAAAAGAACTGCCGCATCAGATGCTCGTATGAAAGAATCCCAAGTGTGGCTCGAGCCTTCAACCTGAAAAACAACTTGTCTAAATAATGAAAGATGTCTCTCTTTACATATGAAACGGCATCTATGATGTCAATAACATAAGTTTTCGTTGGGGTGGTGAGAGCCTGAATTGGATAATAATTTCAAAGCAAAAATATATATATAAACCATTGTCATCATGTGAGCTAGAGATCGAGTACTGATTTGTAATCCACTCCACATAGTACGCTCAGTTAAACCAACCATTCGTGCATGTTTACGAAAATATTTCTCGACTGATAGGGCAACGTTATCCAACTAAACAGCTCAATGAAGCTACTTATTATGTGAAAATATACAAATGTCGTTTTTCCAACACCGCTTTTTCCAAAAACCACAACAGTGATCTCTTCTCCAGCTTCGATTTTTTGAAAAAGACTTCCGGTTCCGTCGTACAAACAAACTTGCCCGTAAGGTGGAGCTAATCCATTAGCTTCTTTCTTGGTACCTCCCATAGAGGGGAAGACATTCTCTACAAGCACACGTTTGACCACGTGCACAAATGAGATCACCTACTCTTCCGGAAGGAGAGCAATCTCTTCCACAACGACTTTGACTTCTCTCTCACATCACTCTCATCAATTGTAGCAGGTGCGGTTTCTGTAGGAAAAAAATATATTCATCCTCATTAAAGAAGCAAAACCATTTGCTCTCCGTTTAGAACGGCTTCTTCTTATGACACCGATACTCCTTCGGAACATTGATGTCCTCTGAAACAAGTTATAAAGTGTGTTAATTATATAAAACGAGAACGTACACTGAATGTTGCTTTTGCGGAGATATCGTCGTCGTCTATGGTTCGAGTGAATGTAGCTATTGAACAACAGTAAATTTAATGAGATTGAAATTGAAAACCTGATCGTCTTTGCATGGCCTTACGGATAAAAGGTTTATGCTCCTCGGACATAACAGAATCTGAGTCGGAGTCTAATCTAAAACAAAAGAGAAGTTCTAACATGAAATCTCAAGATGAGTTCTTACCGATTAAGTGGCATTGATCTATCCAATTCATGCATGATCGGCTGAACTAACGAGCTTCTTAAGGGACGAGCAGAAAGAGGTGGAGGAGAAAGACGGCGCAATGTGTCCATGCACGAAGTATTTGAACTTGAACTGGCAAATAAGGAAATGAACAATATGGGATCTTACTCATTCAGATATACAACATCGTCTTTATCAGAGAACCTGCAGCGCCTGGATTTTGTACTAGAAGTCTCTCCATCATTTTCAGACTTAAAAAGTAATAATTAGTAACTTAAGAGTGAAAGCAAGCCAAACCTCGTCAGTCGTCTCATCGCATACGGGTGAACTATCGTGTGACGGTAACTTTTCATTGAAAACCATTGTTTCGTATTTTTTTCTATGCTCCTCAACGACCTATAGAAGAAAAACTTCAAGAAAAAAAAATAATAAACAAAAACTAACATTCTGAAGAGAGATATTGATTATTGTCTTCTCAGCTGGACTTCTGCAAACGGGACAGTTATCGTGCTTTTCAAGCCAGGATACAATGCAACCAGAACAGAATGAGTGACCACAATCAAGCATAGATGGCTAAACAAGTAATGCAAAGAGAAATTCGACAAAAGCAAATTACCTTTGTGAATAACAGCATGCATATTGGGCAAGTAAGGTTATTTTTAATTACACCTTTATCTAGCATCGTTTCAGTCATTTTCTTAAAAAATAAAATATAGTAAGTGGTGAGTCACCACATAAATTAACAGAAAAGAAAATTCATTAAGCTGAGCTAATATTCAAGAGAATCATACAATCAGCGTTGTCCGCTGTCATTTCAAATGTTGGCATTGGGGCACAAAAAAGGAAAAAACAAAAATATTTCCTACTGTAGATTGTCTAAAACAGTAGTCTTTACCGCCATCTGAGTGGAAGTAACAGATTTGTAATCATCGCGTGATGTGTTGACGTCATGCTACATTAGCCTACGTACTCCAAATGATTATAAGTTGTGAATGGGCTTAGATCCGTTGGACTAATTAATAGTGAAGAGATATATCTATATATCCAGATAGCTCAACTCTATATCATCTAACAAAAATATTTTTTTGATAGTTATTCTCAATAAGCTTATTCATTGAACAGTTTCTAATTGCATGAGGAAAAATATTTTATTTCACCATTATCATTTGGATTAGTTAAACATATCAGATGAAGCATCTTCGTGATAAATTATAACGTCCTACTAAGCATCTTCCTGGACAATAGCAGTTTGTATGACATAGACCTCCAGCTCTGCATGTTTTCTTCTAAAAAAACAAAAAGTTATTTTGAATGAAGTAGAAGTATAATGACTAATTGAACCGTTATAGTCTCATATGGTACACTAGCTCTCATTACAAGTGATTCTTCCAACTGAAAAATATCTTTAAATACGGATATATGAAGTGTGAAAGCTTACAGGTATGATGTTGATGTCATCAGGTTGATTATCTGTGAAAATCTGAATAATAATAAAAGTAATAAAGGCTATAAACTAGTGAATGTACCATTGCCGATATGATTGTGCTCAGAAGGCTGCAAACAAGAATCAGACGCATAACCATCGTTCTTCGAATTAACTGAAATTCGAGGTTGAAAAGAATAAGAAGAAAAAAAGGAAAAAATGAAGTTAAATAGTACAAATCTCATGAATAATTCTGAAATTTGAATATTTTTATTTTCTTCGTTAAGAAAACAACAGGTGCAATGTGAACTGAAATTTTAAGCCTTTTGATTCATTACGTCAAGCTCATTCCTTATATACGTTTCGAAAAAGGAATAATTCAAGGAATTGGAATTTTTCAAAGATTCATGTTCAAGAAAAAAACTTTTAATATGGAAATAACTGAGAGCAGAACTAAGATCGCTAATAAACAGAGAGAGAGCGAGAGAGAGAGCGAGAGAGAGAGTGAGGTGGGTGGGGGAGTTTCAAAGCTAATGCGAATAGGAAGACAGGTATTAGAGCTTGACAAAATTAGTAAGAAGCACATTTCTTCCAAAGTAATAAGAGAAAAATAATTTTTTATTCTTTTTTTTTTAAAAAAATGAAATGAAGAGCAGGAAAAAACTTTGAAATTGAAATGAATGATGTAAACGGGAATTTTATAGTTAAAACGATAATGGAGGATAAGAGGAAAGAAGAACGGATGAAGTTAAATAATATAATTTAGCTCTCATTATCGTTTTCAAAAGTATAAATATGGAATGAGAATGCGAAAAGAAGAAAGAGGATTGGGTGGGTGGAGTAGACCCAATTTGGCAAAAAGATGAGGTGCTGCGAAAGGAAGTTAGAATTACTTAATTAAATGCTCGTAAGAGATAATTATAACACAAATGTTTGATGTATTCATTCATTATTGGTCTTTTGAACGTTTTATTGGAATTTTTAGTGTAAGCGTCAAAACGTCTGTTTTCATTAAAATTCTAATTTAAAAATTGTTTTATTGGAATCGCATATGCAAAATACAAATATCTTGTTATTATGAACCCTTATTGAAGTATATGCACGAAAGATATTCTGGAGCGAGCCAACCAATACAAAGATGTTTGACTCGTCGGTCTAAATGTCTAACACAAAATCCTTATCGGCGAGAAACAGGGCGAGGAGTTCGATTAAACGACGTTGTCGGCCGGTTACTCTCTTTCTGTTCCATATCCTTAAATGGTTTCATTAAAGAATATTCTTGGATATTTCCGTGTTTGAAATTTTTTTTTCTCAAAATTTTTAACAAAAAAAAAAAGAAAAAGAAAGATAGATAACCTTCAGCTTCCACTTAATAATTGCTTTCTTCTCTTCAGCTGCTCTCTTGAGCTTTTCCTCTGTTTTCGCGACACCATCAAGAGAGTTTTTCTCTTCCTTAATAATTAAAATATAACATCACGTATTCTTACATAGTAGAATGATTTATGTACCTCTGTTATCTTCGTATTAACAACTAAACTTCGAGCTCGTTTGTTTGTTCCGGTTGGACGAGAATACTTTAGAAGATACATCAGACGATTTGATGGGGACAGCGATAGTTCCAGCATAAGAATAACTTGAGCCCACTTAAGGAAGTTTCTATGTACCATTGTTTTGAAACGAAACTAACTTGTCTTTTATATTCTTTCTTAGTTCGGAAAATTGCTTCGTATGTTCGTGTCATCATAGCAATAAGTAGATTGAATTGCAGGATGGATACACCCATTTCGAAAATCAAAAAAACACTCTGAATAAGGAAGAAAAAACATTTAAGAATTGGCAACATAACTAGAAAAATACTTTTCCTATCCACACCATGATATTAGCTGGGCAGAGGGCGAGATTACGATAGAGAACTGTAAATTCTCCAATGGTAAGAATGAAGGTACGGATGAATGCTTCAACTGGTCCTTGTATAACATTTTCAAAGATTATCGCCTTAACATCTTATAAGAGACAGTTGATTTACAAACCACTAACCTGTTCGAGACTATTTCTCTGAATCTGGGAAAGTGTTGCCAAGTATGTTGCGTTGCTTTTCGAGCTCACAGCTTCATTCTTCACTCTTTCACAAGAAAGGAAAACCAAGTAGAACGCTGAAAAAAACACTCTTTTCATTTCATTAAGCTTTCAGTCATACCTTGTGAAAACCCGACCAAGAAAATACCATAAATGAATATGAATCTTCTTATGTCAGTTGCGATGATCGTGTAAACCATCAAGACAAAAGGTCCAACGAAGTTAATTGCTCTGAATATCTTAATTCTTGGGTAAATTGAATAAAACTGACCGGCAGTAGAATAGAAAATGAATAGTTGTCATAAGAACTGTAATGCAAGCCAATATGTTGTCAACTACTACTAATTCAGCTGATAATCTACACGAGGATCTGATGATCACTGTGAATAATATGAACAAGAAAGATGTTTTGTAAGCTATTTTGGCAGGGAAAGCTTTCTGGATGAAACTGATTGTTTAGATGCGGAGTAAATCTCTTACTAAGATATTCCACCATTTACTCGCTCCGATGTACCGAATATCTTGCACGTCCAAAAACATTTGAATCATCACACTCAGTAAAACACTCATTTCGGCTGCCAAACGAATCTAAGATTCTGTAGTTTCTGACTCATTGCTTTGTCTTACATGGTTTTCCCAGTCACTTGAGCTTGCATAATTCAATAAATGACATTGTATATCCTGAGCGTCTGAAAATAATTAATTGAGAAAATGAATATTGTCTATTGTCGGACTCCAAGGAACTGCCGAATAAGTTCCATTAGCGAAAGGGACTAACGGGGTTCCTAGTTTGCTTGGGTCTGTTGAAACAGTGGACTTCGTGGCAGCATATCCATACTTGGTTATCCAACCATCAGTTGATAGCTTCAAACATAAGATAAGTAAATTACAATCTAAAGTACCGGATTAAACTTACAGATGTTGATAAAGAGATGGGGCGTAGGAAGAAAGCTAATGTCACTAAAGACCAATGAAGAGAGAAAGCTAGAACAGACTGTGCTAATCTGAAAAATAGCAAACTGTAACATCTGCTTCTCAGATATTTGGAATCCACAAAAAATTGAAACTCTTTTTTTTCTGTTTTTACGTATAATCAAATATTAAAAAGCTTGGCCTCTTCTCGGAGGCTTAGAGCCGATGGCATCACAACTTGGCCTTTGACTTCTCGTTTGTTTCTTTAATTGGGTTTGATGAATACTCAAACAGAGGGAATTCCTTTTCACATCAACTATTTTTATTGAAAAAAACACAAACTTGGCTTTTCCAAATGCTTTCCATTTTTCTTCCAATAACTCCTCCAATAAGCCATCGAGGAGCTCCAGGTGTTCAGGAGTTTCCTAGACAACAATAAATCATTGAATGAATAACAACAAGATCTCAGTTTTTTCGAGTTATTACTTTTTCAAACGAAAATATATGTTCGTAGAAATTTTAAATTCGAAGTAACATACTCACCCCATATACAACCAATGACAAAGCGCTATTCTCGTTGAGATCTCCGGTAACCTCATTAATAGTATCAATTTTGGCAAGAGGATAAGCCGTGGATGAAGCATCTCCGTAAGCCCACACCCTTTCTCCTTCAATTTCTAAAATTTCAGTGAACATCTGAAAGCAACAGAAGATGATTATCTCACTTGAGGTTAAGCAATTTCAAACCTTCTCCTTAGCCATCTTAGCAGCTAATGTCAGAGGAGTTAAGTTTTGTTTATTGGTCATTCGAAGACTAGCTCCATTCTCCAAAGCTACTCGAAACATATTCTGAATAAAAGTGATTCCTTTCGTCATTCAAGAGAAACAAACCATGTTTTCATGAATAACACACATATGAAGAACTGTGTTACCATTTGTATCTTGTGCATTAGGATTGGCTTTCTTGGCCAGCAGCAGACGGTAACAGTCTGGCTGGTTCATGCAAGCGGCAAAAGAGAGTGGATATTCCCCGAAATACATTGTTCTGGAAGAGGAATTCAGATTATGACATTTATGGCATTTTTACCCCGTATAGTTAGTTTTAGCACTCAGCTCAACATATTCATGTTCTAAAGAATCGGTTCGAGTTGCCTTCTGATCATCAGCACAAAAAAAAGCGCCGTAACATCTAAAAAAAATTTAATTATAAATAAGTATTATAGTGATAAAATTATGCTGACCTGGTGCTAACATCAGCCCCTCTTTTTAACAAAGTATAAGCCATTTTCACATCTTGATTTACAATTGATTGATGCAAAAGAGTCAAGCCTGGCAAAGAAAACTGAATCATGGGAAGGAAATGAGCAATACCGTAGTAATCTTCAGAGACGTTGATATCATTTACTAGTTTTGGGTATGAATCAAGTATTTTCAAAGCTAGTTTGTTATGCATATCAGTTCCTTGCAAAAGGCATATTCCTATGATTGTTTCTCCCATGGATCCTTCAAAAACGTAAAATCAATATTCGAATGATACAAACCTCGTTCATCCAGCTTCCAAGTGATATCTCGATACTTGGATTCTCCTTTTCCTCCTTTGCCTCCACCATCCAATAGCTTCAAAGCTGAAATCCGCTTCAATACTATGTTTTTCTAAGTCAAACAAACCTTTCTTCAAATCTCCGACATTTTCACCTTCTTGATTGAAGTCATCTAAAACGTTTGGACCACTTTTTCCTTTTCCTTTTTTCCTCGAAAATGCTCCAAGCCGTTCATTTCTTTCCTATTAAGTTATAAATTACGTACTAGGTTATTATATCCTATGGAAACCTTGTTACGTAGTTTTACGAGTTCAGTAACAGTGCACACTTTCCCTTTGCCCTGATTATACATGAAATCTCTAACTTTCGTATCGATGTAGGCATCTAGTATCGAAGTATCTCCACTCGTCAAAGCATATCTGGAAAAGGCAGACTCATTTTGGAACATTTTTAGTTTTCTGAGTGTGAGAAAAATGAAATTCGGAGTTTTGCCTACAAAACTTAAACATTTCAAACTCTGTTTTGTTCTTTCTTCTTATACTGTTGAACAAACACATCAGAATTATTTTCTCAGAACAGAACATATCATAATCGTATTAAACTATGATTTTTTTATTTTAATGGAAAAACTTCAAACTTGCCTGAACCAGGGTATAAGCTCTCCACCACCATGCATGTCCACTAGCCGATACAGTTTCCGATCCTCCTGTAATCGGCCCATGCTTTGGACCTTCTGTTCTTGAGAATGGCCAGAACCCATGTTTACTAGCTGCAATGTAAAACTATTCTTTAACTTTCTTGGTCTTAATAATAAAAAGGTACTGTAATTTACAGAACAGGACATTTAAGATGATTCTCAGTACGATATAATGAAGCACTTGCAAGATTCTCAGTGAGTTGAAAGATTGGATTCTCAGTAAAGCTACCGTAATCCCAGTAAGTTGGATGTCATATTGGTGGAGTGCTCCATCGAGAGGCTCAGATAATGTTAAAAACGAATTGGTAAGGTAAGTGGATTGAACAAATAGAAGAGGATCAAAAAGTTAGGCAAAATAGAAAATTATTCGGAAATTCTTAGAGATATAGGAAAATCTTGAAGCTTGAACGTCAAGCAATAGCACGACATCTGGTGGGAAATTGTGGTGTGTTGCTTAGGTAACGCGAGTGTTTTCGAGAATTTTGATTACTATCGTCAAACGGCGAATGTCTTGGAAATAAAAATTGAATTAACTGTTCCTTTCGAATCGAATGAAAACGAATAAAGTAAAGTTTCAATTTGGTCGGACTCCTGGATCATGAGAGAGCCCAAACATCGGATTTTGGCGGGGAGGGGTTAAGAGTTCGAGGAAACTTCTCAATTTAGTTCTTATCAATGCTTGAGTTGAACAACTATGCTTTTTCAATGTAAATACAAATGAAATATGAAATAAATGTATTCAGATTTCATTAACTTTATTAAAAATTCTTTCTCAGAATATCAGAAGTGTCCGGTACATTGAAATAAGAACATGGATTTGAGCAGTTTTCAAAATTCATAAAGTTCCATCCAGTGTTCTCTCTAAAATCTAAAGAATTGTTTTTAGCTTCATGTCTTGAACTTCATTATTTTACTTGTCTTTTATCAGAAACCCTTTTTCTAATTCCTTTGATTTCGTTTTCTCTCTCAGCCTTGACGGTTGTCACGAGATGTACGACAGATTGAGCACGATTCACCGTTGACTCTCTCTGTATTATACACAATTCTAACTCCTTGAAAAAGAATTTCAGATATAAGTATTTCTGACTTAACTCTTTCTCTCTTTTTTGCTTTCTTCATCAGGTCCCCATAAGAATTCCGCAAACGACGCAGGCTTGCCCTTTCTTCTTCACGTAGTCGCTCTGCTTCTTCAACATTCACGTTCCCCAGCATTCGAATTTTGGTTTGTAAAGCTGATAGATCTTTTCTGTAAAAATTGAAATAAGTCAAAACATCTTTGATACTTCATAAACTTCAAGTTTTCTGATTTTTGACGGAGCTGATCGTTTTGAACAAGATGTTTCCTAATGGCTTCTTTCACTAACTCAACCTTTCTTTCGTTTTCTGTTTTGTCTTTGTTCTCATTAGGTCCATCTAAGATGAGAGCTTCCAAGCTTCCTATTTCTATAAGAACAAAGTATTTATGCCACAGTGATATAGTGTAAACCTTTCAATAGATTTTCTTTGACTTCTTCCGCTTTCCTCAAATCTGCAGTCATTCGTTCATTGTCTTTCAATAGGTTTTCCACTTTTGAATTCAACAGATTCTTCTTCAAGACAAAAACATCAATAATTACGATAAGAAAAGAAAAAAAAACTTTCTCCATCAAGGAACGAGCTTTGAATTCTAAAGCTTTTTGTTCTCTTTTTAGATTCAGGAACGCTTTCTTCATGTTAGGTATCGCAATAGAATCTCTACCTCTACTTCCTGCCAGAAAATGTCTCGTACTTAGCGATGAACTCTGGAATTTGTAAGAAGTGGGAATCTTTCTATGCACTTACAATTCTTTTCTTTTTCTCCAATAGTTTATGAGCTATATTTCCATGTTTTCTCGTGATATCTTTCAGATTTCTCTCGAAGTCGGAATCCGATTCGACCTTAAACGTCAAAAAGTATGGCAAAAGCTCCACTACAGTACTCAGTTATACCTCGGAGCAGTCGCTCTCTTGTTTCAGACATTTCTTTTCTCTCAAATCTTTATACTTTTTTTCCAATTTTTTTAATGTCTGAAAGATGTTCTTAAAAAGCAACTGTATATCTACTCACATTAGCTTCAATCTCCATGAACTGTTCACATTTCTGAATTTCTTCATTCTCCTGTTGTAACACAGACTTGGTTCGCTCAATGCTTTTCCGTAGCTCTTCCAAATATTCGTCGTTCATCTTATTCAATTTCTTGATAATAATTTTATTACATACAATGAGTCTCAGAATTCACTACCTCTATTCGCTTTTTTTTTTCTTCAGCCTCGCTCTCCAAACGGGTGATCCTAAACTTTCATAGGCTGACTACCTGAGGCTCGCTTTTATTTACCTCATATCTCGTTCTTTCAAATTATTCAAAAGCTTGCTGAATTCATCTTGAATTTGAACGTTCTCTTTCTCGAACACTTCCACTTTTTCTTTTAAATCAACAGTATCGGAAGTTTGATTAATACGTCTATCAATTTCTTTTTCCAATAAGTTCTCGATCAACGATTGACTTTCCTCAGCAAGAGAAATATCTGCTCTGAGCCTTTCAATGGCGGAATCCTAAAGAAAATTGAATATTCCTGGGAAATAATTTCAAACAAACCTGAGCTGTTTTTTTTCTCGTTGAATCTTCAACTTCTTCTCTGATCTTTTCAAGAGTAGATCGCAAGCTTCTAGTTTCTTGCAGTATATTCTCCTTCCTTGCTTCATTCATCAACTCGCTGACTGTGTTCGTTTTGCTAACTATCTCGGTACGCAGTTCCGAATCTAGAAAATGATTTTAAATTTCAAAGTAAACTTGAGTATCATCTTCACTTTTCTTTTTATAATTCTTCAACTTCAGGTGTATTTCCTCATCATTTCCTACAACTGAAGAGTCTGTAGCTTTCACAATTTGTCGGTTCTCCAGTAAAAAATTGTCTTTCTCCTCCACCTTCCTCTCCAAAGTGATTATTTTGCCTGTCAACTCCTTTTTCAATTTTCTTTTTTCAATACACTGCTCTTTCGTTTTTTTCAATCGTTCCCTCTGGAACAAAAACATTTTTGTTGGATTAGACAAGAGGAACATTCGAATGTAGCTTGTACAAACCATTTGCTGTATTTCTTCGTCCAGATTGCGATTGACCTTCTCTAAGTGATGCTCCAATTCATTCCGATACTTCTCTAATCTCTAATCAAAACAAGTTATTCGAATGCACACAATTATCAGAATAAACTTACTTTGGAGTTGTTCATATTACTAGCACACACTACATTTAGAGTTTGAAGTTCTTTGCTTGAGGTTTCACTGGTAACCAAGCAACACTTTACAAGGAAATAGGAACTAAGCATGAGCTATTTCACGTTATACTGGAAAAGAAATAATTTTTGAAAATGATTTCACAACATATAAAATTTATTAACACAACTTATTAACATGACATGTAATTATTAGAATGACTTCTTAATTTAATCCGTTTATGGCTTTGAAAAAGCTATCGCGTTTATTTTTTGATACCATGCTCAAAAGATAATTTTCTGACTTAAGTAATTCTGGAGATTCGGGACTCAGATAACAATTCGGCATTATATTAACAAGCTTAACTTTTGCTCTTGCAGCAACAAATCCTGTCAGAAAGACATCATCCAACTGTGAAATTATCAATTATAAGAATTGCTTGTCGAAAAAACGTCACATACCCATAAATAGTCAAAATAATGCACATTTCTTAGAATATCCGTAATGGCTTGAGTTGATATGAAATATCCTGAGCCACTACAAAAGTCTGGCCAGTATCGTTGATTGAAACGTCGAGTAACAGCCCTGGAACAACTTGGTTACAGACAGATATGATGGGACTGGAGTGTAACCATTTGCCACTTGCGCTATGAGAAATCGGAGATTCATGAAACATACAGCAAAATATTTCAGAGCTCGAAGAGCTATTTCTCCAGAACTTGAGATCCAAACTTTTCATTAATTTAATACTTTCAATGAATAGACTAATTCTTGGAATGTTAAAAACGATATCATCGTCTACTTTCAATATCATACCCACATTACGACACTTGGAATCAATATACCTCATATGAGACAATTGCTGCAAATGAAATTATGAATATAATATTGATTATGATTCTAACTTTTAATGTCAAGTTGTGATAGCTATCAATGAAGTCTGTTTGTAAAATATCACCAAATTGCTCATTCTCATAACGTATTAAGGTGTTTCCATGTTCACTCAAAGATCGTCCGACCGAAAACATCAAATCGAAGCCATACTGAACAAATAAATATTTTTATATATGGTTGTCAGGATTCACCTTAGCTTTCTGACTACCAACTTTCGATCTAAACCATTCTCTACTCAATTTATCTGAACAGGCAACCTGCACGACAATCAGGAATGTTAAATTCTGACAGGAAATAAGATGTGGTTCTAAAATTACGTCACGAACTTTCAAACTCTATAAACAAACGAAATCTTTTGACCAAACTAAAATTAGAAAACGCTAACTTCTATGAGATCGATATCCAACTCAGCGAATAAGTAATACTTCGCGCTATCGTATAAAACCCAGATAGCATAGTTACTATACGATAGTATATTGATATCAAGTACAATTAACTGAAATATAATTATACTAACCAATAATAATCTCTCTTGCAATTACCAGACATATCGAGACGATAAGACATAGAAAAAGAAATCTCAATGATGATCTCGACATAACTATCAAAACATCTGAAAATAAAAGAAAAAGTGAGTGAATGCAAAAAAAGAAAAAACGAATTGGAATACTAAAACTAGAATATTTAGAAACAAACTATAATCGATATCATAAGAAACAATTCGAAAATTCAATATAACAAAGGATTCATTGATTATCATCAAAAAAATTATTAATATCCGTAAAACTAATTTGAAAAGTAATTCGAATGTATAAAAGGCACAACGACGCGTATCTGCAGATACGCAGAGCCCACACATGCAGAGCAGAAGAAAAATTCCATGTTTGTTTGCAGTCCTTATCAATATCTATTGCCGTATACATTGAGAATGAGTCATAGTAATGAGAAACGCAGAAGAAGCTCAAATACTTACACAAAACTGCAATCAACATTTTCCTTTCTCTTTCTATAATATACCTTCTTGGTACGATGATTAGGCAAAAGCGAAAAACATGCTGAAAACATGTAAACAAACAGACACAATGATCACTTCACTAGAGCTGAAGTATTCAATAATTTTTTCATTAAACAGCAAAAAACAAATGGAAAAACGTGCGGATATGATGAATATAGTTCATGAACTGTGCATTTGTAGGCATATTCAGTTGTTCAGACCCATCCACGTGAGTGGAATACGGTCCAACAGATTGACGGTTATTCTAGGCTGACCATAGAAGTATATCTCTGGTTCCTTTGCAGTATCTGTCTATACACATCCGCATATGAGTGTTTTCTATTTTTGATAAGAGACAGGTCCAACAGATTGACGGTTATTCTAGGCTGACCGTAGAAGTATATCTCTGGTTCCTTTGCAGTATCTGTCTATACACATCCGCATATGAGTGTTTTCTATTTTTGATAAGAGACAGGTCCAACAGATTGACGGTTATTCTAGGCTGACCGTAGAAGTATATCTCTGGTTCCTTTGCAGTATCTGTCTATACACATCCGCATATGAGTGTTTTCTATTTTTGATAAGAGACAGGTCCAACAGATTGACGGTTATTCTAGGCTGACCGTAGAAGTATATCTCTGGTTCCTTTGCAGTATCTGTCTATACACATCCGCATATGAGTGTTTTCTATTTTTGATAAGAGACAGGTCCAACAGATTGACGGTTATTCTAGGCTGACCGTAGAAGTATATCTCTGGTTCCTTTGCAGTATCTGTCTATACACATCCGCATATGAGTGTTTTCTATTTTTGATAAGAGACAGGTCCAACAGATTGACGGTTATTCTAGGCTGACCGTAGAAGTATATCTCTGGTTCCTTTGCAGTATCTGTCTATACACATCCGCATATGAGTGTTTTCTATTTTTGATAAGAGACAGGTCCAACAGATTGACGGTTATTCTAGGCTGACCGTAGAAGTATATCTCTGGTTCCTTTGCAGTATCTGTCTATACACATCCGCATATGAGTGTTTTCTATTTTTGATAAGAGACAGGTCCAACAGATTGACGGTTATTCTAGGCTGACCGTAGAAGTATATCTCTGGTTCCTTTGCAGTATCTGTCTATACACATCCGCATATGAGTGTTTTCTATTTTTGATAAGAGACAGGTCCAACAGATTGACGGTTATTCTAGGCTGACCGTAGAAGTATATCTCTGGTTCCTTTGCAGTATCTGTCTATACACATCCGCATATGAGTGTTTTCTATTTTTGATAAGAGACAGGTCCAACAGATTGACGGTTATTCTAGGCTGACCGTAGAAGTATATCTCTGGTTCCTTTGCAGTATCTGTCTATACACATCCGCATATGAGTGTTTTCTATTTTTGATAAGAGACAGGTCCAACAGATTGACGGTTATTCTAGGCTGACCGTAGAAGTATATCTCTGGTTCCTTTGCAGTATCTGTCTATACACATCCGCATATGAGTGTTTTCTATTTTTGATAAGAGACAGGTCCAACAGATTGACGGTTATTCTAGGCTGACCGTAGAAGTATATCTCTGGTTCCTTTGCAGTATCTGTCTATACACATCCGCATATGAGTGTTTTCTATTTTTGATAAGAGACAGGTCCAACAGATTGACGGTTATTCTAGGCTGACCGTAGAAGTATATCTCTGGTTCCTTTGCAGTATCTGTCTATACACATCCGCATATGAGTGTTTTCTATTTTTGATAAGAGACAGGTCCAACAGATTGACGGTTATTCTAGGCTGACCGTAGAAGTATATCTCTGGTTCCTTTGCAGTATCTGTCTATACACATCCGCATATGAGTGTTTTCTATTTTTGATAAGAGACAGGTCCAACAGATTGACGGTTATTCTAGGCTGACCGTAGAAGTATATCTCTGGTTCCTTTGCAGTATCTGTCTATACACATCCGCATATGAGTGTTTTCTATTTTTGATAAGAGACAGGTCCAACAGATTGACGGTTATTCTAGGCTGACCGTAGAAGTATATCTCTGGTTCCTTTGCAGTATCTGTCTATACACATCCGCATATGAGTGTTTTCTATTTTTGATAAGAGACAGGTCCAACAGATTGACGGTTATTCTAGGCTGACCGTAGAAGTATATCTCTGGTTCCTTTGCAGTATCTGTCTATACACATCCGCATATGAGTGTTTTCTATTTTTGATAAGAGACAGGTCCAACAGATTGACGGTTATTCTAGGCTGACCGTAGAAGTATATCTCTGGTTCCTTTGCAGTATCTGTCTATACACATCCGCATATGAGTGTTTTCTATTTTTGATAAGAGACAGGTCCAACAGATTGACGGTTATTCTAGGCTGACCGTAGAAGTATATCTCTGGTTCCTTTGCAGTATCTGTCTATACACATCCGCATATGAGTGTTTTCTATTTTTGATAAGAGACAGGTCCAACAGATTGACGGTTATTCTAGGCTGACCGTAGAAGTATATCTCTGGTTCCTTTGCAGTATCTGTCTATACACATCCGCATATGAGTGTTTTCTATTTTTGATAAGAGACAGGTCCAACAGATTGACGGTTATTCTAGGCTGACCGTAGAAGTATATCTCTGGTTCCTTTGCAGTATCTGTCTATACACATCCGCATATGAGTGTTTTCTATTTTTGATAAGAGACAGGTCCAACAGATTGACGGTTATTCTAGGCTGACCGTAGAAGTATATCTCTGGTTCCTTTGCAGTATCTGTCTATACACATCCGCATATGAGTGTTTTCTATTTTTGATAAGAGACAGGTCCAACAGATTGACGGTTATTCTAGGCTGACCGTAGAAGTATATCTCTGGTTCCTTTGCAGTATCTGTCTATACACATCCGCATATGAGTGTTTTCTATTTTTGATAAGAGACAGGTCCAACAGATTGACGGTTATTCTAGGCTGACCGTAGAAGTATATCTCTGGTTCCTTTGCAGTATCTGTCTATACACATCCGCATATGAGTGTTTTCTATTTTTGATAAGAGACAGGTCCAACAGATTGACGGTTATTCTAGGCTGACCGTAGAAGTATATCTCTGGTTCCTTTGCAGTATCTGTCTATACACATCCGCATATGAGTGTTTTCTATTTTTGATAAGAGACAGGTCCAACAGATTGACGGTTATTCTAGGCTGACCGTAGAAGTATATCTCTGGTTCCTTTGCAGTATCTGTCTATACACATCCGCATATGAGTGTTTTCTATTTTTGATAAGAGACAGGTCCAACAGATTGACGGTTATTCTAGGCTGACCGTAGAAGTATATCTCTGGTTCCTTTGCAGTATCTGTCTATACACATCCGCATATGAGTGTTTTCTATTTTTGATAAGAGACAGGTCCAACAGATTGACGGTTATTCTAGGCTGACCGTAGAAGTATATCTCTGGTTCCTTTGCAGTATCTGTCTATACACATCCGCATATGAGTGTTTTCTATTTTTGATAAGAGACAGGTCCAACAGATTGACGGTTATTCTAGGCTGACCGTAGAAGTATATCTCTGGTTCCTTTGCAGTATCTGTCTATACACATCCGCATATGAGTGTTTTCTATTTTTGATAAGAGACAGGTCCAACAGATTGACGGTTATTCTAGGCTGACCGTAGAAGTATATCTCTGGTTCCTTTGCAGTATCTGTCTATACACATCCGCATATGAGTGTTTTCTATTTTTGATAAGAGACAGGTCCAACAGATTGACGGTTATTCTAGGCTGACCGTAGAAGTATATCTCTGGTTCCTTTGCAGTATCTGTCTATACACATCCGCATATGAGTGTTTTCTATTTTTGATAAGAGACAGGTCCAACAGATTGACGGTTATTCTAGGCTGACCGTAGAAGTATATCTCTGGTTCCTTTGCAGTATCTGTCTATACACATCCGCATATGAGTGTTTTCTATTTTTGATAAGAGACAGGTCCAACAGATTGACGGTTATTCTAGGCTGACCGTAGAAGTATATCTCTGGTTCCTTTGCAGTATCTGTCTATACACATCCGCATATGAGTGTTTTCTATTTTTGGATTCCCTTCGAAAGAACGGGAAATAAGATCTCAACTCGATTAGATGGATATGGTTCATGAACTGTGCGTTTGTAGGCATATTTAAATGTACAGACCCATCCACGCGAGTGGAATACTGTCCAACAGATTGACGGTTATTCTAGGCTGACCATAAAAGTATATCTCTGGTTCCTTTGCAGTATTGCGTGAAAATCTTTCGCCTTTTACTAAAGATTTCCGTGCATAG